CTGCAAGGCTCGGGCCGCGTTTGCTAACTTGAGACACCTATGGCGTCAGAATGGTTTATCCCTGAATCTGAAGGGACGTGTGTATCAAGCTACAGTACGGGCTGTTTTGTTGTATGGCTGTGAGACTTGGCCTATTCGAGCAGCGGACCTGAGACGTCTTCAGGTGTTCGACAATCGTTGTCTCAGAACCATCGCTCGTGTGGGTTGGTGTCAGCGAATCCGTAACGATGCAGTCAGAAAGCGAGTTTTCGGTTGTGCAACGGGTACTTCCATTGAAGAATGTGTCCAGCACCAGAAGCTGCGTTGGTTGGGACATGTTTTACGCATGTCGAACCATCGTTTGCCGAAGAGAGTACTGTTTTCCATGCCCAATTCGGAGTGGCGTAAACAGAGAGGTGGCCACCCTTCGACTTGGCAGAGGAATATGAAGGAGATCACGAAACGCTTGGGTGCTGTCGGTGCTACTCGCCTTCCAGGATGGGGACCGCGTGATCCTCACTGTGCCTGGTTGGAGACACTACAAGATATGGCTGCCAACCGATGTCAGTGGCGTTCTTGTTGTCAGTTTCTATCCAGATTGCCTGAGTGAATGTCTGGAGGTGTAGGCACCTCGGAATGATTGTGTTAAGCTAGCACTAAGTCCCTCTCCCATCCACCTTTATTCTTTTCTTTACAATAAGGCTTTCAAATAAGTCATGGTTGTACGGCAGTGAAGCGTCGGTGTTGAGCACTGATGTCATGCTGTCGTTGATGATGATGATGATCTCGATGACCTTCCCCGATTTGACAGCCACTGCCTCCGTACAGGACGAGGTGCGAGATGAATTGATACCTTTGAACGTGTGGAAAACCACTCGTCAGACGTACCATCGAGCTGTTACCACAACCAACGGTACATTGTTTGATAGGAACATGCCGAAAGAATATAATGTGACCGCTAGTTTACATAGGGAAAGTCAAGGAAAAACAGCAATTACCGCTCGGCTAGGTTCGTACAGCGTCAGATAACAGGAATACTAAATAGACCATTACACTAATAGATAAGATAATCGTGCAGCTGTAACATCCTTTCGGGGCCTAGCTGCTATGCACCCAGAGGGAGGACGAGGGCTGGGATGCTGCCGAGTTGACCAAGCCAAGGCAGGAAACGTCGAGATGTGGATGTCGCTGTGACTAATTCATTTTCGAAAAGTGGACAGAGGCAACAATCTAATCACTCCCAATGACTTAAAAGAAATGACAATGCCACACCGGCTCATTGTGCAACCACCATACTTAACAGGCCAGGCCCTGGCGTGGACTACAGAAGACCTTACTGACAGACACATGGGCTCTGTTTGCGATGACCAGTTGCTTGAAAACATGTAACAACACTGACAATGTATGATCCAGCGATAAGGCGCCCATCTTGTAAAGCACCACAGATCACGAATTGAATACGAAAAAGCCGCAATTTGCACATCCAAGAGTCCAAAGTGAGCTAACTGACTGGATGGGGCATCGCGAGTACAACCAACTGACCACAACTACCACTTATTTCAGTGGAAACTGAGCGCAAAGTATGGATGAAGAGGCAGGTCCGCCCCGGGACTTTCTTGAAGGGTGCACAGAGGTCGTTAATCTACTCCAAGGGCAACACATCGTAAAACACTTACCAGGAAGTACAGGCTCTAGGCGAGCATCCTCGGCCTCCTCCACGGCTTCCTGCTGCTCCTCATTGGGATCACGATACCGGAAAAGATCAACCATTACACCCCAAGGCTGAGTACGCAAATCTTCTCCGCGTATGCGGCGGACCTCACGGGCAAGCAGCCACCAGATTACGGCTATGGAATTCTCGGACTGGAGGAGCATTATAACTAACTGCAAAAGAGCCTACCTTGTTATTGCAGGGTATTACAATATCCACACGATTGATGGGAGTGTCCGTGGTACACAAAGCAACCACTGGTATATTTACTGCGCTGGCCTCCATCACAGGCTGGTGGTCGCTCCTGGGGTCACTGACGATTAACAAGCGGGGTTCACGGAAGCATGACTAAGAGCATATAGCAGGAAACACAACCTACCTGCTTCTGGTTGGTGAAAGCACCTGGTGTGAACCGACCAGCGACTGCACTGGACCGAGTGTAGTGCGCGAACTTCAGAACAGCCCTTTGTGTGAATGGTTTGCAACCAATGGCACACACATCGGCCGCAACATCGACAGCAGCAATAGCACGGGCTGCAAGGAGTATCTTTTCCCAGGTCTTGTTGAGCTTAATGATGTGCACCCCATCCTTGGTCCGTCCGTACACATAGTTTGACATTTGGAAGTTCAAACTCTGTTCCCCTAAATGCACATCCGCGACCAACATCAACCGTAGGTCATCCTCAGACAACTCTAAGACCGGAGAGCCACCCGACATCGCGACTCCTAGACTCAATCACGAGAAAAACCAAAGTGCGCGCAACAATCCACCGAGAAAATTAAAAGAGATCTGCCACGCGAATTGATCGAGCGTCTCAGAAACAAGAATTTACTCGAATATCTCACAAGCAGACCTCAAAAGGAAGACAATGGACCTACATAACACTGTAATAACCGTACAAAATGTGGCGCGCAGTACGACTTGCATAAAACTTCGAGGATATACAGAGCTCAGTATTCGCACACTAGGACGGAGTTTTTGAAGGTTGTAATGTGTCTCCGATGGGATGAACTAGTCGGGTAGTCTATTTGAGAGTACCAGTCAGTGCTTATTATCCGCACAGTGCTCTCAGCTGTAAGACCTTTATGAGTGGAGTAGAACTTCCTATGGTAAATGCGGCATTTTGTTGCGTATGTGCTCAAACCAAATGCAGCCCCCATCCACCTTCATACTTTTGCAGCTCGCCAAACCTCATTGTTCACTGGAGCAACCATGTCTCTGGTTGATAGACTTGTGGGATAATTTCCCAGTATCGCTGGGACCCCGGGATACTTTAGCGGGGCTTATCAGCTTGGACTGGTAGTCTCAACTCATTCGCCCGATTGCTTTGGTCCATCAGGAACACGTCATAACTTTGCAAAATTCAGTTCCATTATGCGAATACTGAGCGCCGTACCAGTACAAAACTTTGGGCCCCGTTTATATATCCTGGGGTCTCGGAGATGCTCGGAAATTATCCCATCTGATTTTTCTGCCAAAGGTATGATTGCTTCAGGGACAATGAAATTTTGTGAGATCCGAAAATATGAAAGTAGATAAGAATATCCTTCAGTTTGAGCTCATACGGAACAAAACGCAACATTTTGGCTCAAAAAGTTTCGCTCCATTTGTAAAGGTTTTGCAGCTAAGAGCATTCCGCGGCTAATAGACTCTGGAGATAGCGATGACTAGAGCTGCAGTGAACACGACAGGTGCAGTGGTGCAATATGGGTACATGTGCGCAGAAAGTCAAGACCTGGTAAAGTCGGTTCATTAGCTATTGCGTCTGGATTCCAATCCTTCTTTTGGCTGAGAGCAAAAGAATATGTGAGTTTCAGAGTGTGCAACATCGGGCAGATGGCTTGTGAGGTAGCGAATGCGGTCTAAGCGGTTGGCTCGATTTCGTGTGCGGAACTGGATACCAGTGAATCAATCAAGAAAGGCACCGAATTTGTGATGAGTGAGGGAGGTGGATAATATAATCAATCAGGAGGAATATACCACTGAGGACTATCGATTGTTCATTGAAGACCGCGGAAAAAGCTAGCGTACACAGCTGACACGGGGAAGTTGTTCACGTGCAGAACCTTCAAGGGACAGGGTAGGGTTCCGCGTGAACATGAAGTAAACCGTTGGGGCAACCAAGTGGCAACTGGTTGTGGGTTTTGAGGGAGTGTGAAGAAATTACGTTGAGGTTGTCTTTGGCACCCGCTTGCGTAGATGAGACGTCAACGCCGTAAAAGTACTCAAAAGGAAATACGGCGAAGCGAGAGTATTCTTATTAGCGAATCTAGCCAGCAGGTGTCGACAACAAGTGCGTGACAACATTTCATGCCACACGAACCTCCCGCGCGCTATCGTCCCACTCATTGTTTATTGCGTGGTCGCAACGTCTTGTGAGAGCTAAGAAATTTATTGCCTGATCCTGTTTGCCCCGGTAACTTGGAGAATTTGGTTACGCACAACAGGCCAAATGACTTATTACGAACCGTGAATTCATAAACTGCCTCAGCGGTTTTCGGTAATCAGACTTTTTCAGGTGGGTTATCTAGGTATCTGGTATGAAAAATGCGCTTCTGATCCCTTCAGAAAGTTGAACGACCATTTCGCCTCTACGAAGACAGGAAACGTACATGTTGCTCACAGCTCTATGGCAAGGCGCCCTGAATGCATCTTGTCAGGCGAATTGTTAAACGATAATGCTTACGGCACCTGATTTGCGGCATCTTCGCACGTCATATTCAAGTGTATGAAGTAGTAGATACACTTTACCATGTTTAACATAGAGTCATTAGACAACCGGTTGTGACTGAATAGACAATTGAATGATGGTTAACTAAACGGTATACTTCCTTTGAAGCGACAATGAGCACCTTTGTTGGATGGCAAATTGCGTTTCACCAACTATCAAAATATTTAGCAGGCTCAGATTACAGTCATGGGTCAAAGTCATGTTCCTCTTTATGCAGCGGGTCCTTTCAAAACATGTCACGGGTTCCCAGCCGGCAATAAGACTGGTAGTCCAATCGTTCAGTTAGTCGGCATCGGTCAATGGCAGTCTTGGCAGGCATCCAGATATTACCTTGGTTCGGTGGTTTTCAGACATTGGATGCACACACCACACAGGCCGCGAATTGCCCATGGCAACCTGCGTATTAGAGCAACCTTTCAACAGGCTACACATGTCCAAGTGATTTACGGTCAGGCTACTTGCATCAGGTCGTGAAAGGTGAATAACTCGCTTCACTGCACACTATTTTTACCATCTGGAGTTCACGGAGGAACCCCGTTATGGACACATTTTCATCCACGGCGCGCGCAGCCCATGTGTTTTTTTATCACTGGCAGCTCAGGCTCAGGACGCGCAGACTCTGGAACTTCACCACACTTTTTAACCAACCGGCTCTTTTTCACTCTCAGGTGGGCCATTTGCTCACGCGCGGTGCTGTATGCTTTGACATCAGCATGGAACACTTTAAGAACTAACCTGCTGGCCCTCAGGGCAAACGCATCATTCCGATGGCCCGAAGCATGCAATTTGTGAACTGTCCCGCCGGGGTAAATAGCTGAAGCAATATTATGAAATTCATGATACTCGGATTGCTGTGTTAAGACGTACAATTACCTACAGGTCCCTAATATCTCGTATGAAACGACCGTGTACTTTTTTACCCGGGTGATATGATAATCAAGAAGCGGAGCTCCAAGTGTATCTTGTGCGCGGATGGGAGATTGATGGGTTGTTCAGATGCCCCTTTCGTCCAATGATTGAATTCCTCACTTTTCAATCCCTGAACACTTCGTATGGTGGGAACAAAGCATGGATCGTGAGAACTTCCTTCCGAACTTTCACTGTGGTTTTCACATTGCTTGTTCTTTGGCTTTTCTTCTGTAAATTGTATCAGTGTTGCAGCGGGTCGGTTCCTCTTGAAGGAAAGGTGTGACCGAAGCAAAATCTGGCGGAGATCGGAACGGCACCATCGCCAATTAAGGCTCCTCAACCCGACCGAAAAAACCCTCAGTGGAATCAGGGCTAGCAATGTGTTGGTCAACAAAGGTCACTACAAGAAAGCGGGGCGGCGAAACTATTAAAATCGACGTGCCTTTAAAATACCGCTTCTGGTGGCAAACTATACTGATCCTGTGGTGAAGCGTGCCACCCGCGGACGGGAAATCATTCACACACCTGTTTTTCCCCCATAGTATAAATGACGTACGCATGTTTCCAAACCACATTATTCCAGACCTTCGTATCATACCAGCAAGCTATTGGTGTACACAGTTGGCTGAGACAACTAAGTGGGTTTATTCCTGAGAGGCCTTTTATGCTCGTGCACAAGTCAGGTCGGTGGTGTGTGGTTCTGATATACTAAAACATATAGATGGGGTCCTTAGGATATCAGTCCTTACAGAAAAGTTTGTTCAAACAATGATAAGCTTAATGCATGCTCTGGTATTTGGATTCACATGTGTACCTACGTACATTCATCAAAACCGACGGCCATTGATGAGAATCCCATCAGGGACAAGAGAGATGTACTTTCGGCTAATGATTACAGGAGTGACGTATTGGTTGCAGCCGCTTATGACGAGTGATTGTGGCGGTACACTCAACCGAATAAAATGTGATCACAGCCCTTACAGAGAGCCTGAACTGGTCTTAGTTTGTACCTGCGTCCCGCTGTGATCCCATGGACTTAACTAGCTGGGACACGATCCGCTGGATTCTGACAGGCCCATGGATAGTAACGGTACGACTTCAGTCGGCTGGTAACCGTTCGGTTATTTGTTCGTCTAATCTCCTTTGGACGTTCAGCGTCCGTTGGGGTACAGGTTGTAGTATACCCTATAATACAGAGGCATAGTAAACGGATATAAGGATGTGCCGCGTTTCTTTCACGAAGGCATACTCAAGATCCTGGATGCAAAAAAGCAGCCTGATCTTAAGATAGTGCTAACTGATGGCTACAAGCGCATCACCCCGTATTTGGCTATCTTCCATATTGCTTCTCTGATCATTCATGTCATCCGCGTAACGTTCTACAGAGTTAACTTCGTTTCTGAGCCAGATTACATAGATTATGAATGTGTGTGCCTATTGTACCAGTTAGCTCTTCCAGCTTGTGAGCTGTATGTGCGTTCGTGCACCATGCTTGTAGTCTCTTGTTTTCCCCCTTCTATCCATGGCGAACCGCGCGTGCTCCGTTTTTCTACAACACAACGGAATAATCACCAATCAACAGCATCTATCCATCACCATCCACTCCTGTGTTCCGCTTTCACTTTAAAGCTTTAAGTTTCACTAAATAAACTCTCAGGTTTCGCGGGCTTACCGGTGCCAACAAGGATGTTGCGGTACCTGATGATAATGTTGATGGTGATAGATCTCCAAATCAAGTGCATAGTTTGATGCAGGCAAAACCCGTCACATGTGGCGGACACCCAAGTTTATCTGGCCAGCGTTCGCGAAGGTTGTTCGGCCGCACGCAGAGGACACGGTACTGGTAATAATAGTAATAATAATAATTATCATTATTATTAATAATAATAATGTTTATTCCCAACTCGTGGGCGGCACACAGTCAGGCATGATCATACGTTCTTAGTCAGAATAAAGCACGATGGGATGTTTGCGGGTACTGGAAAGTGCGCGAAAGAGAGGATAATGTCATAAAAAGTGTGTAATATGGTGAAATAACAATAGGTTCATTACACAACTTGCAAGGAATGCGCCGAGT